CCCATAACGCGCGGGTACGCGGAAATTTCCAACTTTGCGGCGGGGCCTAAAGTTGGAAATCTGCTCTCCAGCGCGATTTGGCCTTTACGAGGTTTCCAAGATTTCCGCGTTCACCATACTTGCTTCGGGACCGCGCTTTGCGCCCTAGCCCTACCCCCCCACACCTGCACACACACACACACACAGCAAGTGAAAGTTTTTAGAGATGCTGCTCTAATGCCAGGGAAAAAGCACTGAACTTCATGAGAAGCTTCTCCAAAGTCTGGGCACTCTGACCAGCCGCACGAGCTGCAAGAAGACTTCGGATGTAGTCTGTCTGCCCTTAGTAAGGGGAGACGGGAAAAAATTGAAAAAACGCACCCGAAAGTACCGAAAGGTCGTAGGCACTGGGCGCCTCTGCAAGGAGCGCTGGGGATGCCACCAAGGCCCGCACCCATCTTTAGTTGGTGTGAAAGCATGTGGCGCAACTTCCTCGGGTTAGTCGATGTAGGTGATGGTGCCCGCAAACTGCTGTGTACATCGTTGCCAGTGACTGCTCACACATTATACCTGCTCAGGCCCAGCAGCAACCCCAGGATATCTCGTGGGTTTGGAGCAATGAAATCATCCCATGTCGCAACCTCAGCTTGCACAGCCTCAACCTAACCAATCTTTGGAAGAGGTCTGACCACTTCAGCTCCAAGTTTGCACGACAAAGTGTGCAGCTACTGCTGTGCAAACTGCTACAGCTTATTGATTTAAGAATGACGTGATCTGTCCGACCCTGTATGGCGACTACTACTTCAAGAAGTGTGACCAGTGTGCACTCCAATCGCGGCTTCGTGAAGCAAAATGCTTGAAGGAAAACTCAGCAAAGAGCCTCTTCTTTTGCTGCCAGGTAGAACTTCACCGCAACTTCGAGATGCAAAAAACGTGGTGAACTCAGGTCCGGCTGCAGGATGTAGTCGACCTCGCCCTGCAAACCAGATTCCTATATCCCCATGCAATCCTGAGCACCCTCTGTGTAGAGATGCGGCGTGCAGCCTCGGGCCCTGCCCCACCGCCACACCCTCAGTTTTCACCGCCCTCATTTGAGTTTTCGTTCTGCAAGACTCTGCACGCAAAAATCGAGAAAATCCAGAGCGAGTGCGCACGAGAGAGAGAGAGAGAGAGAGAGAGAGAGAGAGAAAGAGCGCGAGTGCGCACGAGAGAGAGAGAGAGAGAGAGAGAGAGAGCGAGAGAAAAAGAGGGAGAGAGAGAAAGAGAGAGAGGGAGAGACGAAAGGAGAGAGGGAGAGGGAGAGCCACCTGTCTATATAGAAGCGAAGCATGGCTCTCGACCCCATGTTGCACGACAATAACGCTTGCGTTTGCTTTCAACGGCTTCTCCGCACTGCAGCGCATCGTTCAAGGCTGTGCAGGACACCCTCAACATCCTTGTCAGAGTGAACTCCGGCAAAAGTTGATGAAAACAGGCACCTTTCTTTCAGGGAACCCCTCGAATTCAACAACCCCTTGGGCTCAGGGTTGAAGGGGTGTGGATCTCCTGGATTGGCTCCCGTGTCTTCGTTGGCCGCAGTGGGACGGCCGAGAAGCCCGGAGCATAAGTAAACCTGGGGAAGGCACCGAATATGCAGAGGAGGTCAGCTCCGCCGTCGTGCTAGATAGATACCAGGGACTTTCAATCCAGAAGCTCGCAACTGCAACCTGCGAGCCCCTAATTAATCACAGGACTTCGAACCTTGCCGGTCACTAAAACAAGCTGGGAGACTCTAACTCATCGGAAACGGGAACGTCCTCGAAGAACACCTTTCAAGAGGGTGGCCACAGCACTGCCTGTTCCATGCACTTCTTGCGACCCTCAGGGCCCCTGACAAGCGAGACCAGCTGAGAACGAGGCAATGCAACCGCCACAAGACGCACGCAATGAGATAGACATGTCTCTCTTGATTTCAGAAGGGTAGAGGAAAGGGGAGCGACCCCTTTCCCCACACTCCAGGCGAACCCCGTGTGTTGTGGGCAAAACACTGTCGCTTGCTCTCTGTCCCTCTCTTGTAGACTACAATAAGGTTGGAGTGTTGGAAGGCAGAGGCACTTCGCAAGAGCACACGGTTTCGCACAGGGCAATGCCTTCGGCCCGCAATCTTTCTCCTTCTGTTCTTTACACCCGATTTCCACAGGCCCCAAAACTATTTACAATTATAGGGAATTATAGCGCTCTAATAACAAATATCTCAAATCGACAAACTTTGGGCTCATCGGAAATGTGGTAACAGCTCTGTGCTGGGGCAACTTCGTCACGGAATCTTGTCTCGGCGCCTCCCTGTCCATATACCGCTATAGGCTATATGCACATAACCGAAAGAAAAATGAAGCTTGCGTTGGAGTACATTCATTCCGGGCCGATCGGCCGACTCACTGACGGTGTTTGATTCATGGCCTGTGAGACAACACATTCAAGGCCTTCGACCTTTCGGCAGCTTTTTTCTAGGCCGAAGTAGCCTCTCCTGAGCTGCTCGAACCATTACTTAGCCATTGTTTTGACTCGGTCGAAGTCTTTGCCATGGGCTTGTGAAACGGTCGAGTCTGTCCCCGCCGTGAACCCCTGCACAGCCTTTGAAAAAAAAATCGACAGAGAGGCGGCCCCCACCGTGATTGCAGCACGTGAAAGCAGCAATACAATCACCAAGTGGCCTCTCCGTCCATCATGCCGCTGTCTGGCGGTGCTCTCGGGCTGTAGTCATGTGCTGCTTTGGGATCACCAACGCGGGAGGTCAGCGTGGCAAGATCCTCGGGCGAACCATGTCTCAGACTCGCGGGTATCAGAGATCCGGGCGTCGCTCCTAGAGGCAAACTCCTCACTCTCGCAAGTCTACTCAGACAAGTAGCTGGCAAAGGTAGAGCTTCTCTGGACCGACCGCGCTTGACCTTGAAGCTGATGCGAAGCTGGCCACCTGCAGAGCTTGGGGCCCTTCTTAGTGCTATTCTGCGCCTGCTAGCCGCTAGCCTGACCACCGGCAGTGACGGAATGAAGGACCTGGTCCTCGCTGTCTGTAGCTTGCAACTTCAAGTTCAGCATCTTTCGCATGTCTATGCTACCACTACTCTCAGTCTCACATTCGAGTCTGCTTGTGGCAGAAACTGGAGATGCTTCACGGCAGCCGGACGCCCTAATTCTACTCGGGCGGTGCGGAGGAAACTGCTCTACATGCACCTTAACCGACTTAACTCACGAAGCATATCAAGCAGAGTACCAGCCACGCGCATGCCTTGAAGAAAAGCCGCTTCGCGGATGCTGCAGAAGAAATCCACATCCCACGAACTTTTCAGCGGAGGCTTGAAGCGCCTCGCTCGGAGCATGGCGCAAGTGCATCTCTCGTGTACGAGTAGGACTCCGCCTGACGACAGCACCGGGCGCGCCCGCCGCGCTCTCGTTGGACCTCTTCTCCTTCACTAGCACTGAGAGTGAATGCAAAACATGGGCAAAAGTTGAGTTCCGGCTGTGGTCCCCTTATGTCCCCTTCTTGGCGGAGACTCGACAGCTGCCTTGACTGTCCAGCTATAAACGTCCACCTGGTTCCCTAGATTGAAACCCCAGAAAGAGACTTGAAGGAAGCTGCCCGTGCATTGGGAGTCTCTCACGCAAGCAGAACGCAAAGAGTCACAAACAAACGCGCCAAGCACCGATCATTTCGAGTCCCTACGGTTCGCTGAAGGGCAGGTCCTTCGGTATGGGCTCACTGTACAGTGCCACAGGCACTTTTCCCAACTCCGCGAAGGCAAAGTGCACGAGAGACTCGTAGTAGTGGCCTCTGCAAATAGGAGAGAGGGACAGCCAGGAAGAGAGAAGCCAGCACTGTCTAATTACTCATGCACCGAGAAATGCGTTCGAAATTTGAGTAGCCGTCTAGCCAGCACCGAACGACATGTCCCATGAGCAGCTAGCCCTTGCTCAACTCAACACGGACGTTGTTACCGCCCATGTCTGATGTTCAATGTACTGAATAACGGCACAGAACATGTCGCGCTGCTATCATGTCTCCGGCGTTATTAGGCCAAGCCCACGGCCGCAGCAAGCTGCGAAACCCGTTGTCCAACTTACCGTTCCCAGTCGCCGACGAAGCGCGTTCCAGATCGGCCGTGGGAGGTGAGCCATGCACGGAGGAGCTCCGGATCCGCATCCAGAGCCAGCCTCTGATTTAGCAGGGCTGGGATGCTGGGAGTGCTATGTGCTGACAAGACGGCCATCCGGATCGTCATTGCTTCGGGGCCATTCACAACGATGCACTCGCAACGCTCCCCCTGGCGGCAACATTTCTCGACAACATCGCACCGAAAACACCTTTCGATTACGCCAGGAAAACAGACACGTGGTCCAGCATCCGGCTCTGTGGGGTACACGCCGGCTTCCCATAAGTTGATTGAGAGATGTACGTGTGGACGATCTTGGCTTTAACAAAGTTGGTTTCGATGCTCCCAACTCGGACCGACGCTTCACAGGTTCCGGGTCGCAACAGAGAGAGGCAGGCATCCTCTCGTCGGATTGCCGCAAGGGACATGATGTTATCTTAGCTGAAAAGCCTCCCTACACATCTCTGCTACACGGAGAGGGGTGGAGGGGTGGAGGGTTAGCTGTTAACAACAGGTGAATGCATCCTGGATGCAGGTCCTGCGCCACGTCCCCAAGCAGATCCTGATGGCATCCGATACAACAAAACTTACAGCATGCCGGTGTGTGGTGTCAACTGTCTTTTAGACCGAACTGGTACCAAGCGAGGGGAGATTGAAAAGCTGGTCTGTCACGGAATTCCACCCATAGCCCAGCAGTAACTACTACCAACATCCACTAAACGCTGAAGCCGCCATCATGGCACATCAAGCAAGACAGGATCGTCGATTTTTGGGGAAGGGGGTGGGGGGGGTTGCCCACTTCAGTCATTCAGTACCTCCGGCCACCTGTAGCATTCCAACGGTAAAGCTGCAAATGGCTTGCTATGGAAGCCGCTGCGAGAATCTGTCTGCAGTCGGCTCCTCCATCGCGCCATCAGTAAAGACTTCACGGCCGTACTCTACCTGGGAGACGGAATTGTTATCGCCATGTTCCACACTGGACTACCACTGCCAAAACTGAAGACTTGTGGCCTGCACATGTGAGACTTTATGTTGTATTGTTCCAAAACTTGACCCCGAAATGGAAACGCTTGGTCTGCAAGTCTGAGTATGTCTTGGCAACACTTTTGGTCTTTTGCAGCTCGCTTTGTCTCCCTCTCAAGCGGCACAGTACTCCCAATTCGGACACAATCTCATCGGCAAGTTCCTATGGGGCGGCAACGCTGCGAAAACATTGAGCTGAACATTTTTCGCTCATATGGACGATGCCCGTGACAAGCTGAAGCAGTATCGGCAGCGGTGGAAGTAAGCTGCCAGATCACAGTCACACGTTGCCTAATGTGTATGCGACCAGCTGTAATTTTGCGAATCGACCCCGGGACATGGAAGTGTTCTTCTGCTTCCAGGTTGCGTCGGCGTCGCAACAGAGACCTGGCGCCAAGACCGACCACGCCACATCACCTCAGCCAAAGTTCGCGAAACAGCGCAGCTTGCGGGTCTTACTATGTGCCACGTACTGGCCAAGTTACAGTTTCTCAAACTGGGCTTGTGCGTCTGACATGTTCGTACAGATGCTCGGGTTTATGCTAGTCTGAACTGTGGCCGCATTGCTAGTTCTGGCTGTCGTACGTCCGACCTTCCGGCTGATCACTCAAAACCTCTGCAACATTCTGCAACAGATATCACGCGGTGATTTTTCTGCCCTATCGCCGCACATCGAGACGGGACTCGACTGCAAGGCGACCTCGGAACTCCGAGCACGGTGGCTGCACCGCCGAAGACCTGCATCGCACCAGACGGACCCGGCATGTCGGGTCCCAGAAGTTCATGTTCCGCGCCAGGCTTGGCCCGCGGAGCAACCATGAGGACCGGTCTCGAATTCCCACAGTGAAGCGCAACGGGGCACTTCCATCCTCGCCTCACGCGTCATCCGCATTTGCGACGACAATCTTCCACTGAGTGGCTTGTGCTTCTGTGGGATTTGTTCATCACAGCCTTGCCAGGGACTGCGTCAATCCTCCGTGGACATACTTGCTGGTGCATGCGACTTCCAGTCGTGATCAATCGCCGTGCAGCTCAAGTGAAGCAACGTCTCCACCTGTCCTTCCAGAACCGAATCCTGAGGTGGGCCAGAACTGCGCAGCTAGCAACGGCAACATCAATCAACCAGCACTAGCAGCAACAGATAAAGCATAAGTGCATAGCACGTTGTGACACCCAGACGCGTGAGCTTCTCCAGGTGCTCAGCAGGATCTGCCAGCCTGAGACGGGTATTGGGTTATTACACATCACGACCGGCAGCCGAAATTCGAATTACTAAACGCTGTGTCAACATACGCAACATTCCAAAGCCAGTCCTGGTCAGGACTTCAAGCAGCAGCTCGGGCGTAAGATCTTCTGGTGCCGGCATGTAGCTAGGACCACCTGCAGATCTGCAACAGCATTTTAATGCAGGACTGCTGTCTGGGATGTGGGGAAGGACAAGTTCCTTGCATTGCTGCATGTCCATGCACGAGGACAGGCTTGGCCAGTAAAGCCTCCGATGACACTACGTAACATGCATACATATGTATGTACATGGATATATATATATATACTCGATGCTACGTAGTATATGCATATCATATCGTATCATATATATATATGATACACACACATCTCTATATATATATGTTTATGATACATACTTATAGTACAATATGCACGCAGTCACATGGATCCTACTGAGGCTGCACCGTCTCGATTCTCACACTCGACCGTGCAGGATAAGGCTCCAAGTCCACAAAGTTGAAGCTGGGCCCATGCTGAGACCGACCCCTAGCCAGACTGGGTTCCACTCACAAAGGGTGCGATACAACTTCGAGCCCAAGCTGTGCCAATCACAAAATTGATGTCTCAGCTATTCAACCATGAGCCCTACATCCACCTGGACGATCATCGATGTACTCTGTAAGCTGATCGGAATAACACCTACAGACACACAGCACGGTTAGATGTTGAATGCCCTGGGGCAGCCAAGCGCTCTCGGCCGGCGCGCCTTCAAAAAGCCGCTGATCGAACTGTTCATCTCGTGCCACCAGCCTTGGAAACAGCTTCACTAGGGTACGGCCGGCAACGAAGGGTACTTGAGACCGAGAAGTTCTGTACAACAAACTGACGAGCTGTCGAGCTGGCACCACGCCTGTGCACACACGCATGCAGACGGACACAGTATCGCTGGTACATACATACAGTCACACATATGCATCAACTTGACAACCACTCCAAAAAATACATATGTACCTGTATTGTCTGTATAGATGAATGAACCTATCAGCATCGATCAAGTGACATGCAAAACACAAGATACACAAGATCCACGCCTAGTTGTTGTGACAAGTCGACTTCCGCGGCTCCGATGACTGGTCGTGGTCTTTCAAGAGGCGGCTTTAGTTGCGACAGGACTGTCGGTAACCGCCCTGATTCTGAGAACAACAATCGCATGATACCGCTCCAGCCCTTGTTTGCACTGCCGTCAAGTGTTTCGGACACCTTGAGTCAGAGTGACAATCTGTTTCTTGCATAGGCTATCTCGGCAAGGCTTGCCTCTTACTTGGCTGGCCGAAGAACCTCGCACGATGTCTCCTCGGTCCCTTTGTGGTAAGGATTCGGTACGGAAGCAAGTTGTGCAGCCGCGTTGCGGCACTGTACCAAGGGCTAGGGCTTGCCAGGTGCGGCCGCAGTCGTAACCTCGTCCAGGAGGGGAAAGGATGCCTTTGCGAGGAGTTGAATTGATTTGGCGTGCTTCCAATGTTTTCTTGTGCCAACCTTTTATGTTGAGTGTTGTCGCGGCCACACTGTTTGCCGCTCGAAAACACAAGTGCAGAAGTGAATCCTGATTGTAAACTGGAGGCTGAATCCAGCTTCAATCTCCATGCAGGTTGGCGTCCGAGCTGCTCTGGTGCTGACTGACCAACACTAGAAAGGCTTCGTAGGGTAAGGACTCAGACACGATGTGCACCACGTCGGCATACTCCCTGTCCGCAAGTGCATCCTGGACATTCTCTTGGCGGGGTCGGTGGCGAATTTGCATGCGCCGTAAACCCGGACTACGAGAGCTCGCATTGCGCAGCACATCCGATATGGAACTCTGGGGATCCACACGGTCGGCTCACCAGACGGACCCATGAAGCCTCGTCATATGAAAGGCCAGGGCACCAAGTATCGCTTCCGAAGGCGGTTGTGCAGCCTGCAAAAGCAGGCGAAGCGAGGAAAAAGACATGCTGCGCGAGGGTGGTAGTTCAACAGCACAACAAATCAATGAAACGAACACTAACGCCAAACTACCTATCTATGGATGTAACTACAGTACAGTACAATGCTAAGAATCTATCGATCGATCCTTCCATCTGCCTACCTACTACCTCTCTATGTCTGTCTGTCCATGTGTCTATCTATCTGTCTACCTATCTATCTAACTATCTAACATGATCTAACTACCCATCTGGCAGCATCTCGCTGTCCAAGTGTATCTCTCTGCGTATATCTTTCTATCTCTCTGTCTGTCTATCGATCTATCTGTATCTATCTATATATCGATCTTTCGTTCTATCGATATATCTAATTATCTAACTAACTATCTGTCTATCTACCCACCTAGCTATTTCTGTCTGCATGCCTAATTAAGCTTCTAACTCTGTCTGTCTGTGTGTCTGCCAATCTATCTAGCTGTCCATCTGTCTATCTATCTGATCTGTCTATCTGCCTATCTGCCAATCTGTCAAGCCGGCTATCTCTCCATTTGTCAGTCTATCTGTCTCGCTGGCTGACATATATGTATATATATATATATACACATATGTATGTATGTATGTATGTATGTATGTAAGCTGCTTCTCTCTCTCGCTCTCTCTCTCCCTGGTTAAGTCTCTGAGTCTATCTATGTACATATGGGTTGTTGGAGTGCAATGCACCCAAAACAGTAGAAACAACAACAACAACTACTGCGTCAGCAACAACAACAACAGCAGCAGCAGCAGCAGCAACAGCAACAGCAACAGCAACAGCAACAGCAACAGCAGCAGCAGCAGCAGCAGCAACAGCAGCAGCAGCAAAAACAGCAGCAGCAGCAACAACAGCAGAAGCAGCAGCAGCAGCAA